AAAAAAAAAAATAGGTAATCATCAATGGAAACAAATCTAAGTGGACAGAGTTTTTTCTTACTAACTGAGTTTATAATGAACCATTGTAAGGGAGATTCCTGTCTTCTTATGGCATTGCACCTGTGTTTCCAGACTTAATCTTAACAGTGTAGGACACCTGAAACATGAGTTAAAAATTCAGCCTGAGCTATAGACTAGCTCCTCGCAGCTCAGTGGGTAGAGCATCTGACTGTACCATGTTGCGGTCCGAGGTTAGGGTTCAAACCGTGGCGCGGGGAATCCTGTTGTTTTTGTTTCTTTTTTTGTGTTTACTTATCATATTTTTCTCCTTGCTGATGATAGGTCTTTGATGTCATGTCCTCTGTCATATACTGATACACAAATTTAAATTGTCATTTTTTATCATTTTTAATCCTCGATAGAAACAGAAAATTTAAGTGGACAGAGTTTCTTCTTACTGATTTAGTCAACTGCAAACCATTGCAAAGAGGATTCTTGACATCCTATGGCGTATGTTTCTAGGATTGAACTTTGCAGTGCGCAGGAAACCTAAAACATGACTTTAAAACTCAGCCTCAAATCTGGACAAGTTCCCCGCAGCTTAGTGTGTAGAGCATCTGACTACACTATGTTGCGATCCATGGTTTGGATTCAAACCCTATCGTGGGGAATATTGTCGCTTTTTGTTTTGTTTTGTTTTTTTTACTTCCTCATCATATTTTTTTCCTTGCTGATAATAAGTGTTTGATGTCTTTATATGTTAATACACATAATATTCATCATCGAATTGATTTGGCTTGTTTTTGCTCAAGAAGAAAAAGTGAGGTTACGCATTAGTAAACAAATTTATTAGATGATAAAAGAAAACAGGCCTTTTCTTATAGAAACATGCAGCCAATCTAGAGTTTCTTCCTCACCTACTGAGCCAGTTGAAAATCATTGCTTAAGACACTCATGTTGTCCTATGATGCTGGGTTTCATATTTTAGTGCGTGGGTCTCCTAAAATATGATCTTAAAATTCACAATTACATGCAGACGAGTTCCCCACAGCTGAGTGGGTAGAGCATCTGACTGCACTGCGTTGCTGTTGCGGTCCGTGGTCAAGGTTCCAAACATGCCGTTTTTTCGTGTCTTTTTTACTTGTTTTATTCATTATATCTTTATCCTAGCTGATAATCAGTCCTTGATGTTTTCATATGCCTTTGAAACAAATGAAAAAGTTTCCGTATAACCCCATACTATTATAAGACGAAGCATCATTCCTTGGGTTTATTTTATTCATAAAACTCGATGTACGCATAATTCAGAGTAAGGAGTTAAACGGAAATCCTGTCGAAATCAGTTCCAACAGTTTGAGTCTTACAAAATTTATTAACAAATTCATTCAATGCTTTCTTTTTCATTTCAGAGTTTTTTTCTCCTACAGAAGACTTTCTACAGTCCAGTAAATGCTGATTTTTTCTTCCTCTCGCACAATGCATCTCATTCCTCTTGATTCTCAATGCGCTCCAAAGCGTGCAAACAAAAATCCGCACTAAATCGGTGACGTATCAGTCACTTATTGGCTGAAGCTGCTAATCCATATTCATCAAGAATTGTAAAATTTCCAGCAAACCACGCTGTCTGTCGAAGAGTGAAGACCGCCTTCCGATGCTCTGAAAATTAAGATGCCCTCTGGAAAAAAGACGTTAGACAATTCAGAATAGTAACAGAAGCATTCTGGTGTTACTAACAACAAAATGTGAGTATTGCTTCGTCAAAATATTGTATTTAAACTCCATCAAATAGCTAACCTTGTTGTATCCTCTCAGTTAAACGACCAAACGCGAGTCGGCTGCTTTGTCTGAGCGGTTTATTAACTCGAAGTTTGATTAATCAGGGTGTTAGCTTCGAGAAAAGCACAACGCACGATGCTAAAATATTTGAAAAGAAATACATACCTATCTTGCGCTGAGTAAATGAATTGATGATTCAAGGAGAATGTTTTGTGAAGGTGTAGTCTGATCGGAGAATGTTTTGTAGTTAAATATTGCCACAGGATATGTAACGACTCTTCCGACAAATAACTTGGTGGCCTTTGCTTCATTTAAAATTACATTTCGGAGTCTTCGTGTTTTCTCTTTCCCTTCGTTAGAAGCGCTTTAATAGGAGCGAATTATATAGAAATTATATTTGAAGGTCCTAAGATTTTGCGTCTTCGTTCTTCGGAGACAGTAAGCATTCCCTGATCACATTCATAATTTCTATTTTAAGGAGAAGCAAAGGTGTCAGAAGGATCGAAGGACAAAAAGTCTTGCCAAGAAGATTCACTAGAATGACTGGATTATTAGTGGATACTGCAAAGATAAGAGTTTTGAAATTATTGATTAACAGTAGCAAAAATGGTGGCTCTATCTATAGATTATCATAGAAAGTCCTTATTCTTCCGCCAAGAGTATTGGAATGAATAAATGAATAGTTTTTCGCCACCATTTTTGGAATATAGTTCGTTATGATGCGGATCGTTTTGCAAACCTTAAGAAATCGCATTATTTATTTGAACTACAAACTATGATTTGGTTCAATTTATCTCGGATGATCTCATTTCATTGAAATGACCAAAGTAATAACTTAAAATCGATTTAAACCTGGCCGCATATAAGTGAGCTGAAACTGGAAATCGTTGATTTCGAAGCACTTCACGACCTTTTGGTTTGCACAACACTTCGTATCACAATTTTACCCAGGTGACGTTGCACAAAGTCGATATTTGTTCAGGTATATGGCACTTGAACAAAAGACCTCGGACAAAGACCAAATGAAATCTAAAATTCAAATTTTGCCTGTTTCATATTTCAAAAAGCGCACTTCTGAATAGTGCCGACTTTCAAACCACACCATAGACTGGTACATTACTCGGTGTTCAACTTGCATTGGACCATTTTCAGCGACTGACTTTTAGAAGCTTGTTAATAAACTATAAAAAGACTGCAACTACTAGCACCTTACAAACGATTTAAGAGTCAACGGGATAACCAGCAGACTAAACGGAACGAACTAACTTTAACAGACTGATTAACTGACAAGTCTAATTAATTCTGACAGCCATCTACTTGCCTACTTCAAAACTGAGCAAAACACTTTTGCGAACCAAAGTTGACAATTGACAATGATAACAGCCCCTTGGCCTTTATAGATTATGCCAGTAAAAGTAGCATATTATGCTAGTAGCATTGCTTTTTTGGCGAAATTATGCTAAAATTATGCCCTTTTTTTTAAAATTATGCTCTTTGAAAAAATTGCAAATAAGTCCAAAAAATACATTTTTTAATTAGAAGCCGTTGGTCTACAAGAAAGAAACGCAATAAATCCACAATGAAATTCAAATAAACACGTGGTTCATGTTAACATGCACACTAGTACCAGACCATACATGGCCTACAATGTGACTTCCGGTTCCGGTGCACCCCAGACCCG